TAGAGGTCTTTTCTAACCTTAACGATTCTATGATTCTAAACTAGTTATCACAAATACTATGAGAAGAAAAATGCAATAACTTAAACACATCATACCTGTTTGAATTCTGAGTCTTTTCCCACCATGACCTGAAGACAGTAGATAACTGGATCACCCTTCATGGGCTGCAGAACCTCCCATGCGATTTCACAAGTGTGATCGTTTATTCTCTCTATCCTTGGTGCTGAAGGAAGAAAACACAAAAGTGACAGCTAGCTCTGCTTTTCCCATCACTTAACGTTATATTCTAATGACTCGTAAAATTCTGTATTCTATCTGCTATTTTGTCTCAGAGAAACAAAAGATTCAGATTCAAATGTATTCTTCCTACAATGTTTTCTAGAACAACTAACAATTCACACAGGTCTCTACTGCTAGTTTAGGTAACATCCAAGAGAAAGCAAGTAAAATTTGGTGACTGCAAGCGTGTAGCGTATGCAAAAACACAAAAGCTGCTATGTTTAAAATTATTCTAAACATGCTAGGAAGAATTTTCACCTCAAATTACTGTAACAGCCTGGTTACTCTCTCCCAGTAAGCAAGGATTCTAAGTACAGATCTTCTTATGTCAAAGAATGCATAAACCCCAAGTATCTCATTTTTGGAGTGAATATTTTAGGCTTTAAGCAATTACATGAAAGAAGCATTCCCTTACTATCCCTACCTGCACTTGGAAAAGGGCTTAGCATTCTAAATACCCCAAATACAACACAATACCAAAAACAACTTGCCATCCCCCCACCCCCAAATGAAAAAAGAAGCACCTTTACCTTTCAAGGCAGCTGGAACAGATTTGGGAGTAGTGAAAACATATTCTTGAGAAAGGGGACCTTCACCAGCTTCATTACATGCCTGAATACAAAATTTGTATGATGTTGACTCACTGAGTCTTTGTACTTTGTATGTATGACATGGTCCTCTGTATAAGGACACAAACCTGAAAATGGAAACAGTAGCTTATTTTAAACATAGAAAAGGACTTCCAAAGTAGCTACGGTATTGTCTTGAAATCTATTCCCATAATTTCCCAGAATCTAATGAGGAGCCCAGAAATATTTATTTCAGAGTTAAACAGTGTTCTGGCATTACTATAAAACAATAAGCTCATTTTCCAGTGCCAAGTTTTTATTTCTCATGTCTTTGAAATAAAAATCTCTCTTACACAAAGAGTACTACAGATTGTCTCTTGGCAAAAATGATCGTAAGCATTTTCAGAAACCTTTCTGCACTTGAAACAATGGGAAAGGATGGCAGTTCTCGCTCTCTATGAGCTGCGTACACTGCTTTTGTTTTGGCCATCTACTCCCCCAACATCTTTAGCTTTTCAAAATTAGGTAACTAGATTTTAGCTTTTTGCTCCTTTGCAACTCTCCCTTACTACACCTAAGAAAGGGTCATGGATCCAACTGCTCTTGTACATCATTGTCAGACTGATGAAGCTCACTCAGATCTGCACAGGAGGCCAGAGTCACGCTTGTAGTACACACCAAGTCCCATTCTGAGAGCTTTGTAGACTCTCCTTCATGTTATAATTCTTACATAGACTGATCTTGGCAGTTTTCATTTGATTTGCAATTTTGGTATCCCCAGAACACAGCACAAGTTTATCTCTCTCTGCAGGGGTTATCATCTACTTTGACTTTTTCTTTTCTTTTAAATTTAAAACAGGTGGTACCTGCATGTGACCTAGTCTTTGGTAATGGCAATGAATTTCTTTCCAGTTGAGTCTGGTTTCTTTTCCTCCTTACAGCAGAGCAATTGCACCTAGCAGATCTATTTTGTCTCACTGTGAAGCTAAAGCTACTCAGAGATTCAGACATGGTATGTAGTGTAGCAGTACTGTTCATGTTACCATTTAGGCAATGGTACTTGCTGTACCATCTCAGCTTACATTCTGATTTAACATGAGAGAAGGGATCCCTTAAAATAATCATTTGTACTATATGAGTTTATTTTCCACTAAAAATAATTGCCTATAAAGACAACAGAGAGTAAAGAATTCATCCCTTCCAATATCAAGTATACAAAATCCACAAGACTGATGAAACTTGGTACTTTGACAAAATGCTTAACCAAATGTGAGAGAGAGACAAGCGTGCTGTTTCATATTGAACTGTAAATAAAAAACTATGAATCTTGTACTTCCCAGCATGGAACCCTAGAGCCCTTCTTGCCTTGCCAGATGAGACGACCCCCTATGTCTGTTGTAAATTCAGCAAAGCATATGGAATTTTGCCCTTTGCTGCCATCTCCCAAGCATCAGACCTCAGTGATACAGGGCAGATTAAAGCGATGCCAAAACCAACCTTCTGTTCTTATCCTCCATTTGAAGGTGGTACTGAATGGAGTCAGTTAATGCTTTTGCAGTTCCCTCTCCCCACTTCAGCTTGAGAGTCTGAGAACTGTATGCAGCACACTCCAGGCGAGGTGGATCTGGGGGGAGAGGCTTTGTTTTCAGTTTTATGGTGTGGCTGAAAGGACCCGCTCCGAGGCTGTTTAGGGCTTGAATTCGTACTCTAGTATTTGAAAAAAGAGAGAATAAATTAACTTGAAATTAGACTCTAAAAAATAACTGGTCATTTCCACCATTCACATTCAAGAGAGAATAACGGTACCACATAGGTGGTACTTTCTACAATGAAGACTTTTATCAGTATTATGCTTTGATAGACTGTCATGAATATGCAGGAGTGTCACTGTCCTTGCCACATTTTATGGACCTGGATTGATTCAAAATAAAAATATGTTCGCATATTTGCATCATTCACATTAGTGAAAAGATGCAAAAGCTCTATCAGCTACTTCAAGAGTGGTCCATCTTCCTGACCCCACAGGCCTTGTACCAAAGTTTTTGATAGCCACACTGGAGATGAGGGAAGGTAAAAAACCCCACCCCCAAAAGAGGTGAATCCGTATCTTTGGCTATTATATCAGGTGAGTTCAAGGATGACTACAGGAAAGTTTTATGGGCTTTTTGGAACAGATCCAATTCATGTGAAAATAAAGTGATGGTGCCCATCACAAGCCATCTCTCTTGCTGTTTTCACAGGTAAAACATCTCTGGGTGCCTGCAAACACAAGCCATCTTGGGTCTGCTTGGAAAGAGGTCTGCTTGGAAAGGGAGAGGGGGGAAACTAGAAGTCGTCAAAGGACACATAGCTGAGGGGTTTGTAGAACTCGAAATTCAGGGATTTTTTTTTTTTTTTGGATACTCCATGGAAAACAATGCTGGCATTAGGTTTACAAGTAAGAATTAAAAGGAGTAGCCAAGAAATTTATTTCTAAAAAGGAAAAAGCAGAAAACAGAGAAATCTGAGGCTCTTTACATATCTCACAGGTAGCCATAGAGAGCAGTGTGTCTAATCTCATTTTGTAGACTAACATTTGCTTGTCTAAAATAGTATCTAGCTAACTGGAAAAAAAGTAATCACAATAATAATAATTAAATTCTGAAACAATCAACCACAGAATTTCAAAATATTGAAACACAGATGTATGTGCAGGCTTATGAGTAAGTATTTCTCCTTCACTACAGTAATATTTAACATTATGCTAATTTATTATAGCACAGAACTAAGGTTAATATATGCAACTTTTTATTTGCACAAAGAGTTGACAGTGTATTCTATAAAAGCACTTTTGTGAGTAGAAGTACACTAGTATCTCTGCAATAGGAGCTTCTTTCTTTCATTTGTTGACACAGAGAGCAATGGCTCTTCAAATTGCCAGCATTATTGTTAAATACTTACAGGCACACAGAAACACTGTAGTCTTACATACAGCATTAAAAAAGTAAAAACAAATCTTTAAGGATTCAGAAAACTGCATATCCAGATGATATCCTAACTATACTGAAATCAGCGTGGGCTTAAATTCTGACTTCAGTGGGGCTGATGTTCTCCTTTACGTTTTAACACTGAGGACATGTTTTTGTAACAGGAATGTAGAGTGCCTTCAGGCAGAATTATTGATTTTTACATTTATATTTTTCAGTAACCCTTAGGCCAAACGTAAGGGATGATTTTAGCAACTAAAATTCTTCAAAAGAGATTTAAAATTGATTGATAGATTTTCAAACCAATATTATTCATGCTGACTGCCACCCAAATACTTGCTATTTCTGCAGAAAAGGCATTGCAAGTTGTGATGAGCTGTCATTAGATCAGACAATCCAGTCAAAGACTGGACATGGTCCTTCCTTGGATGGATTTTATATTGTCAAACAGATTAGACGCCATCTATCCATGAAGCAACCAGTCCAAAAAACAGTTACGAATCTGAATCTGTAATCTGAATTCAGTTAAACTGACACATTAACCAGACAACACAACAATACCACAATAAACAAACTAACATAAATTATTCTTGAAAGAAAATAAAAACAGCACAACTCATCTATTTATGATGATCATAATTACAAAGCTTCCTTTTGCTCAATGGCTATGTACTAATGCTTCTGAGAGTAATGCAGAGAATAAAAAAAATACAAGGAAACAAACAAATAAAGAATCTGCTTTTGTGCAAGAAACAGTAGGCTGTCAAGTAGCTGTACATGGCATACCTGTAGGTAGTATCTGGCTGTAAGCCATCTATAAAATAGGTCAGAACCTTCCCAACAGTTACTGGCTGCTTATCTCCAAAGTCTATGCTGTAGCCAAGGATTTCAGATCCATGGTCACAAGGTTTTTCCCAGCTTATAGCAAGGCATGTGGAGGGGGAATAGTGTGGACTTTCAACTTCATCTTCACTTAGTCCTCGAAGACAAGTCACAACTGCAGGTACAGAGGCTGGAGTCATACATGCCACTACTTCACTGAAAGGGCCTGCACCTGCAACATTCACTGCCTGCAAATGCAAAGTAGACCATGTTTTTACGCCAGGGTCAATTCCCGTTTCCAGATTTCACTAACAATAGTTTTACATCTTTACCTGAACCCTGCAATAGTATATAGTTGCAGGCAAAAGCCCTTTCATTTCACAGTTGAGCCCAGGCCCACAATAGGAGATCTGCATGCATCCTTCCACACCACCCCACTCCAGTCGATACTCTGTGACATCAGCTCCGTTACTCACTGGAACCTTTAAAATGGATATAAATATTTAGAAGTTAAATTCACTGACTGAAAAAAAAAATCAACCGCACTCACCACATCTGTATTTTTTTTCACAGGAATGTTACCCTCCCATTTCTTTGCTGATTTTTAATTTAGTACAATACAGATAAATCAGAATGCATTACTGGCCTTGGGTGACCTGTACTTTAAAACCACTATTTACTGTTGCAGAGACTACTCTATACAAAGTAATTGTGATTTCAGTTGCTTAAATACAGAGATCATTTAGCATACGGCATTTGGCTTAGGAGCCTGAACAGTCGATGGCAAGAGATGGTTTTCTTGAGAAGGTGATTTAGGGTACTAGGGTTTTCACTGACTGGATCTATAGTGCAGGGATGACAATATGCAAAAGCACACTGGTGCTAGCGTCTTCATCTTACAGACTAAAGGACTCCTCCTTTGGAGCACATCATGGAGCTCATGCATGGAAACTAGGCCGTGAGCATAGTGCATAAAAGCAGAAAATCGTGCATTCTGTCTTTTCCCAAGATAAGAGTTGTGAACCGGCTGGGAGAGACACCTAAGCAACAACACAGACCTGGACTGAAATGCCTGCTTGAGTAGGCTGTTTTTCCTCATTACCTGCCCTAGGAATCCAAACTTAGCCTCTCAATTTTGGGAGTTGAATGGTTTTAATACTCCTTAGAAATAATAATTTGAAGTACAGTTAAAATCACATGTACCAGTGCCAGACTAAGATATGAGACTATGGAAAGATATCAGCAGTCAATGAAGTATAAAGAAAAAGCCAACCAAAAAGCCAAACTCCTCCCCCAAAGAAACAAAAAATTTCATAGATCATGAAGAAAACAAGAAAAATGCTGCTGCTGTTTTGGATTAAATATTCCAAGATCGCAATCACACCAAGGTGCAGACAATAATTGCGCCAAAGCATGTTTTTTTCTTTACCCTTGTCTTGAAAGAAAAGTATTTGCTACTTTCAGCATTAGGCTATGTGAAGATAAGTGACTGATTACAAACAGCATTTCAAAGGGTAACATTTGATGCTCCTGTGCTGTGACTGATAAGGACTCCCTTTCCCTTCTCTCATTTACAATGAGATGTGTTTGGTGAGAGAACTAATGCAGCTGTGGATGGCTGTGCAACTGTCGGTGAAGATGGAGTCATTTCTCAATGTTACCGCTGTTGCTGCTGTAGATCTAATGGAGTTCACCTTAACAGAAGTAGGGGAATCCAAGCCAACAAGCGCAGGGATGACAACAAACTGGGGGGATGCATTTGATATGCTGAAGGGTATGGCTACCAGAGGAATTTCAACAAGCAGGATCTGATACAAACTTCAGGAAGTTCAACTAAGACAAAGGCAAGCACAAAGTCCTGGACCTGGCATAGAACAGTACAGGCTGAAGCAACTTTACCAAAAAAGAACCTGTGTGTCTTGATGAGAAAGTTGAATGTGAGTCAGCGTGTGTCTGATGAAGGCAAACTACATACTGGCTGTATTAGCAAAAGAGCAGCAAGAAGGCTGAAAGGAGTAATGATTCCCCTCTACTCAGCACCAGTGAGGCTGCATCTCCAGTACTGTGTCCTGTCTTGGGCTCCCCAATACAAGATGGACATTGACATAATGGAGTAAGTCCAGTGAAGGGCCACGAAGAGGGAGTGCAACATACAACAAAAAGGTAAGGCTTATTTGATATTAAGATGACAAGGCTAAGGGGAGATCTTACTGCTGCCTTAAATTACTTACTAGGAGGGTACAAAGAAGATGATGTCAAATTCTTCCTGGAGGTGGCACAGTGGCAAGACAAGAGGCAAGAGTCATGCCTTGCACTACAGGATATTTTGACCAGACATAAAGGAAAAAAATTCTACAGCATGAGAGAGTTTGCCCAGAGACAGCTTTACCAGGCTGCAGAATCTTCATCCCTGGAGATAAGTAAAACTTGACTGGACAAGGCCCTGAGAAACCTGACCTAAATTTGAAGTTAGCTCTGCTTTGAACAGAAGGCTGAACTAAATGACATCTAGAGGTCCACTCGTACCTTAATTACTCCATTATTCTATAAAGCAGACATCTAACATTGGTCAAATTAATCCTACCTGAACATTGTAAGAGATTTCTTCAAAAGGCTTTGCATTGTAGACATTTAAGGAGAGCTCCTCTGACACACCCAGTAGGAAGCACGAACTCTACCTTCCAGGTAAAATAGTTTAATCTTTTTTTTTCTGTACGGTTCTGTAACTCAGATACTTCACTCCATCTCAAGCTGCTGAAAAGCTGTGTTTAAACAGTGTTCCCAGACAGAATCTTCCTTTTTACAAGCTTAATTTTTACCTATTGCATTTTTTTAAATCAGATAGCTAAATACTATGGGTTTATAGGAAGTCTGTGAGGCTTTTGCTAATTATTACTGATGTAATTATATAAAATTAAATCAGCTTATAAAAACAGCAAATGCACAATAATCTATTGTATTATGTGGATATATTCGCTCTGAGGAAAGATAACTACATTAAAGAAAAATTTTAAGAAGAGCCTGCATCACTCAGAAATGCAGTGCAGCAGTTTTGGCAAAACTCTTAAACAAAAGAACAAAGTAAGATCTCAAGTACCTGCAGGCTGTCAACTTACAGCTGTCATATAATGGTATGATGAATGACTTTAAGGTTTTTCCTACCAAGTATTGGATAATCAGGTAAGTATGTTTAAAAATGTGATTAAAATACAGTGTTAAGCTTTTAAAGTTGAACTGAAAAATTTAGAAGACAATCATGTTAAGATAGGTGTAACATGGCATTCTTACCTCCCACGACACCTGAGCACATGCAGCAGATCTGCATGCCACTTGAGGGGGCCTGCACTGATCTGGTGGTCCAGGTGCTGTAGTTATTTCACATTTTTCCGAGTAAGGTCCAAACTATTAAAAAGGGAATTGATACAACTGAATTGTAAAAATAAAATTACTACTTTTTAAGTAACAGTTTACCATAGCAGGGACATATAATAGCAGCCTGAAACTTTGTATTACTTGCCTATAAAATAAATCTCTGTGGACTGTGGATTCAGGATTTATTTCAGTATCTAACTATTCTCCAGAATAGCTGCAAGACTCTTCTCTATAGCAAATGCAATCAGAATAAATTTGACACTTCAAACTCTCTGGCAGAACAGGAAAGTGCTATCCAAATCCTTATTTTGAAGTTACATGATGGCTGCACTGTAATATAACACAATTTGTAACTGCTTATTTGTATCTATCGAAAAGAAATAAAGGATTCAAAAAATGCTTGAGCTATAAACCTCTCCTTGTGGGGTGTGGATAAAAAGTTAGGTCAGTGCTTTAAAGCCTTAAGCTGCAGACCTCTCCACAAACAGTATCAGCTGGTCCTGATACGTTTTTATGAAGAGAACGTTATTGAACAAATGCAAGCAACCCTGCCTCTCTGTCTTTAAATCAGGACTTTGGATACATAATTAAATAAAGCTTGTTCTACAGCAACGATTGATTTAAACATATTTAATACTCCGAATAGAGAAAATATTCTTGTATCCGATAGAACATGTACTCAGAAGTTAAACTAAATATAAAAAAAAAGAGAGTCGGGAAACACTAATTATTACGTTCTAGAACACTAACAGCTGTAAAAATAAAGGTCAATCAATTCACAAAGCTGTATACAGAAAATAATTTACTACCTTACTTCACATGAGAATACTGAAGTTGCAACAATGCTTTGATAAAGTACTTAGCATTTCCTAACCATCTCCCAATGCTATTATTCAGATATAGGACATAATTAGCTATTTTCTCTTCCCTTCATCTAAAACCCCCTTTATTATAAACTGATGTTTAACTGTCTGTTCCCACACAACAATAAGCTATGTGAATCAAATGGCTCTATATTAGGAAATCCTCATTTTAAAATTACTGTTAAATGCTTCTTTTAAGAGAAGATCCTTAATAGTGATTGCAGTCTCTGGAACTAATTTCATTGCAGACTGCCTCCTTACCCCAGCCTTGTTAGCTGCTCGCAGTCTGAAGCTGTACATCCTCCCCGGAAGAAGGCTGCCTACTGTGCATTCAACATCAGAGCCTTGGTAAACCTCTCTGTGTTCATCGGTTTCTGACTGAAACATTTCCAGACCATAACAGGTAATGGGTGAACCACCATCTACCTGGGGCGGTCCTAAAAATAAAGAAAAGCTTATTTAATTTTAACACATTACACATTTGGATCCCTTACACTCACTAATAGTTGTAATAGAATTACCCCAGCGCAGCTGAATTTCTCTTGCTCTTGGTCTACCCTGTAGCCTTGGAGGCTGGCACGGACCAGGAACCACTGCTGGTGTCTGAACCAGTAAAGAATCAGATGCCTACAAAGGAAAGATAGATTAATGAAGTCATTTAGGCCAAAACAAGCACTATCAATTATGCCACAAGTAAAGGCAAATACTTGAGTCAGAAACAGGATCTTCCATTTTTTGAACTACATCTTCAAATACATGAAGATGCTTAAGTGATCTGGTATGCGTTTCTCATAATACCTACATAAACCATGCTACAGTAATCACACAACATGCAAAATTAACTTTTGCTTTTGTGTTTTGGTACACATGCAAGGGGTAGAATTAAAAACAGCGGTTAATTATCAGTACAAACCTAGTATAGATGCTTGAAATATGACTTGTTCAATGTAAATCCATTCTCTTTTCCATCAAACTGCAGTTCAATGACTTCTAAAACCCTACTCTAAGGATTTGTCCTGGTTTTGGCTGGGATAGAGTTAATTTTCTTCCTAGTAGCTGGTACAGGGCTGTGTTTTGGATTTAGGAGGAGAACAATGTTGATAACACACTGATGTTTTAGTTGTTGCTAAGCAGTGCTTAACACTAGTCAAGGACTTTTCAGCTTCCC